CACACACACACACACACACACACACACAAACACACATACACACACATGCATACACACACTAACTCACACACACATTCACTTACTCTTACTCTCACTCTCACAACACACAAACACAAATATTCACACAAACACACCCACAAACAAACAAACACACAAACAAACACGCAAACAAACACGCAAACAAACACACACACAAACACACTCACTCATTCACTTATTCACTCACTCGCTCGCTCACTCGCCTGGCCTGTCTTTGTTATTTTCTCCCAGGGATAAAGAAAAAGATGAATAAAAGCAGTGATTCCTTCACTTAGTTATCAAGATGTTCATGATTACTTTTGTCTCCTTTGTAACAGGTGAACTTAGACGCTGCCTTCCTAATCAGACTTTGAAAAAGTATGAGGAAAAAGCCCTGGACGATAATCTAAGACAGGCTGCAATTGAAAATCTTGTTAAGTATGTTTAAATGGATTATGAACTAAATATTTGCATGCATCCCCTGAATTGTTAGGAGAAGGGTAACTGTGATGCTCTCCTCCTCTACCCTCCCTGCACTCTTTTTTATCTTTCTGCTACACCCCTCGCTTTCCATCTTTCTCTTTTTTCTTATTCACTTCTCCCACGTCTTCACCTTGTCGCCTCCTCTACCCCTCTCATATCCCCCCCCCTCTCTTCCTGTCCATTTCACCTCCCCCTCTCCTCTCCACCTCCTCCCCTTCCCTCCTCCCCTCCATACTACCTCATCTCCTCTTCCTCCCCTCCTCCTCTTCTTCCTCCTCCTCTCCTTCTCTTCCTCTCATCTTCATTTCCTTCTCTCTTTTCGTCTCCCCTCTCCCTCATCATTACTACAGTCATCATCACTTTTTTGTGTGTTCACTGATCTGAGACTATTTGTATTATGATATATAAAAAAACAAATAGTTTGAACCTTCATGTACCAGATTACCGTATGCATAAACATGGCAGACTTAATTTATATGTTGTTTTCTAAATGAACACAATTTGATTATATAGATATCAAGGATTGGCTGGGGTTTGGTAGTTTTTTTTTTGGGGGGGGGGTTGTTTTGTTTTTTTTAATTTTTTTTTTTTTTGGGGGGGGGGGGGGTTTGGTTTTTTTTTTTTTTTTTTTTTTTTTTTAGGGGGGGGGGGTAGTTTGTTTTGTTTTTGTTTTGTTTTTGTTATGACTGCAAACAACCGAGCGATGCATTGAACCAACAGAACTGGCAGACTGGCAGGTCATATGCTGAGAGCTGATACACTTCTCTTTACTCAAAACAAAGTAACTCTAACTTGTTTGACATTGCCCCCTTTCCAGGTGTCCACACTGCGATTATGCAGCGGAGTTGTCCCCTAGGATTAAGGTCTTAGAGTGTGCAAATGACGCTTGTCTACAGGTGGGTAATCTGCCGAGTGTTTGTTTGTTGCTTGCTACTTCCAAACTGGGCTATTAGATTTCTGTTGTTATGACAACTGTAACCATTGTCACCACCGGCATGTATTATGATATTGATAAACGTCGTTATCATCATCATCATCATATAATTACTGTCATTGTAAACAAGAATAAGTATTTAAAAGATATAGGAGGAGACATTAATGTTATGGTTTACAAAAGTGTGCTTTGCTTTGTTTGCTATCGATGGCTTGGCTTTGTTAGAAACATAATAAAACTCTTGTTTCCTTCACTCTCATTTTTTCTTCTTTCGTTTGTTTCCTTTCAGGCAACATGCAGGGACTGCAAAACTAACTGGGTGGAACACAAGGGCCTCAGTTGTGACGAAATCGAACAAAAAGATGAGACTGCATTGAGGAAAAAATAGTATGTGTCAATTAAAAAGGAAATAAATTAAGCAAAGTTTAACAACATATTGATGATGGTTACAACGATGAGGGTTATTATTATAAATAATAATACTGATAATGATGATTTTAATAGTATGAACAATAATACGAATATATGGGTAATACTGATCCTAATACTAGTTCCAATACTAATATAATGATAATAATAATAATA